CACTCTTAATGAGAAAGTTTCCGCACCTTACTTGCCTCCATGTCAGGTTCCTCTTGTGGATCGATTATCGGATTGTGTCCATTGGACTCGATGCCGAGGAGAAATGGCTCGGGTTCTTGCTAATACTTCTTGGGGAAGCGTCATTGATTGGAGCCCTTTTGGCTCCGTCCGAGGAAAAAGGGGTCTGAAGAATTTACACTAACATAGAGAGGATAATACTATTTATAGCAATACCATTAATGATACCATAGTATGACATGCAGGAGGGTTTTCTCCTCCTGTCCTCATTTAAATGGATATCGTATCCAAAAGGATTTATGGAAGCTTATGACAGCTTTGAAAAAGATTAATTCCTGGGTAGGACATATGGTTAACAAATCTGGAAATCATAGTTTGACTTTTCATAAAAATGTTACTCGGTATACTCGTAGTTGTGTAAAATTACCTTATATATTGTTAAAGGGACCAGCTGTATGGAATGAGACTCAAGGTATTATAATATGTAAAAATTGCTCTCTGTATACCTGCATTAACTCTAGTATATCTTTTTTTTTTTTTTTTTTTTTTTGGAGGTACACGGGCCTCTCACTGTTGCGGCCTCTCCCGTTGCGGAGCACAGGCTCCGGATGCGCAGGCTCAGCGGCCATGGCTCACGGGCCCAGCTGCTCCGCGGCATGTGGGATCTTCCCGGACCGGGGCACGAACCCGTGTCCCCTGCATCGGCAGGCGGATTCTCAACCACTGCACCACCAGGGAAGCCCCTAGTATATCTTTTAACATATCTAATGAAAGTTTGTATATCTTACGAGCTCGGACAGGTCTTTGGCTTCCTGTCAATCTTGGAAGGGAATGGCAAGAATCTCTTCCTATGGCTGTTTTGCAATATTTAGCTGATGCATTAAAAAGAAGTAAAAGATTTGTAGGAATGTTGATTGCAGCTGTCATGGGTATTATAGCCATAACAGCTACTGCTGCAGTAGCTGGAGTTGCTTTAGAACAATCTATTCAGACCGTTGATTATATAACTGATTGGCATAAAAACTCTGAAATGCTTTGGTCCTCTCAACGACAAATTGATTCGGAAATACATTCGGAAATAGCAGATTTACAACAAGCTGTGGTTATGTTGGGGGACCAACTTGTAAATTTACAAAGACAAATGAAGCTACGTTGTGACTGGAATCAAAGTGCCTTTTGTGTCACTTCGGTTCCATATAATCAGTCTGCATTCCCCTGGGCAAAAATAAAAAAGCATTTATTACATCACAAAAATTTGACAGAAGAAATTGTGAATTTACAAGGGAAAATTCAACAAACTTTTCAGAAGAGATTACAACGACTTAATTCACAAGAAGTATGGACTGGAATTATTCAAGGACTTAATAATCTAAATCCCATGTCTAAATTACATGCTTTATTTGGTTCTACTGCAGGATTGCTAATGCTCATTATAATAATCATATGTTTAATTGTAGTCCGACGACGAGTGAAAGCTGCCCGCCATGCAACATCGCAGCAAGCTGCCGTGTTCTCCTTGATGTTGCACAAGCTGCAAAACAAAAAGGGGGAAATGTAGTGGAATAACTGAGCACATGGAAAGGAGACGTGACCCATGAGCCCCCCCCCCCCCCCCAAACTGGGGGGGGGGGAAAAAACCAGAACCGCAAGCAGGCCCGATTTCTTTGAGGAACCCCCCCCCCCCCCGGGCAAACCGGGGGCATGCGAATAAGCCAGAACTGTAAACAGTCTTGAATGCTTTGAGCCCCCCCTCCCCGGCAAACCGGGGGCCTGCGAATAAGCATTGAGTGCTTTGGGCACTGATCCATGCGATGTCCTCGGTATAATCAGAATGGTGGGAACACAAGGAAATGTTCTTGCGCTACTTCAGTATAATCAGAATTGTGGGAACACAAGGCAATGTCCTTGTGCTGCTTTTGCTCAAGGATGAAGCACGGCATGTTTTCAAGAAAGCCCATTATTGCTTGTATAATCAATAAAAACATATGTTGCTGCTTTGGCATTTCTGGAACGTTAAAAAAATAAGTCTTAAAATGTAAACATAGATAATGCTTTAATAAAAGCTACCACAACAAGACAGACGGCGCTGTTTTGCCTGAGCGAGCGGCAGCCCTCTACTGCTGTGCTTCGGCACAATTCATCTCGTGTGATGAGCTTGCTTTCGGCCCTGTCATAAGATAAACTACAACATTAGGGAAACCAAAAAAGTTGGTAAGGGAAAATTTTTCCTAATGGAAGAATTCCAGCAAGTAGACACAGAAAGAATGATATAATTAGAAAACCACTATTTTGTAACTCCTAATGAAATAATGGGTGTAAGGCAACGATCATCAACAACTGCTAGAACCCATTCTGTGAAAAATGTTGGAGAACTTTGTAATAGACGGATCAGGCTGTCAACACCTGAATGATCAAAATAAACATCAAAGAAGCGCGCCAGACATCATGTGCCTTCTGATATGATGCAAAATGAAACGTGCAACGCCTATGAAAGACTGTCAAATATACATACAAATTTGAATCTAATTAAGCCTCTAGATCCAACTACCAGTTTACAGGAAAAACAAGGGAAAGAGAAATGACACCATAAGGATACCATTACCAAAATCCAAAATGTAGGAAAAATTTACAGGAAAAATTTACCTGGTTTCAACAAATAAATGGAAATGAAAAAGCATTTGTGGAGGAAATCCATAAACTACAAGACTTAAGCACACATTAACCAAATGCAAGGCGTGAACCTTTTTCAGATCTCAATTTGAATAAACAAAAAAATTTTAAGACGACACAATTTGGGGTAAACACTGGATATTTGACATTAAGGAATTATTGCTAATATTTTTAGGTGTGTTAATGATTTTGTAGTTATCTATTTAAACTCATTTTTTCCCATGATATCTTTTTTTCTTCAATCGCTCAGACATCCCAGGAAGTTGTGCCATCATTAGCCCTTTTTTTTTTTAACATTTTATTTATTTATTAAAAAAATTTTTTGGAGTATAGTTGATTTACATTGTTGTGTTAGTTTCAGGTGTACTATCTTTTTTCTGATAGATATTGGTAACCTTATGTACTGATTATTAACAGCTTTATTGAGACATCATTCACATAAAATTCACCCACTTAAACTGTATAATTCACCCACTTAAACTGTATAATTCAATGGTTTTTAATATACTCAAGAGTTTTATAATTTTAGAACATTTTCATCACCCCCAAAAGACACAGATATCCATTTAGCAGTCACTCACTTCGCCTCTAAAACTCCTCCAGCTCTAGATAACCACTAATTTACTTTCTCTATGGATTTGTCTATTCTGGAAAAAATCATTATCTTTTAGAGATATGTTCTTAGGCATTTATGCGTGAGATGATGTGTCTGGGATTTGCCGCAAAATCATCCAGCGGTGGCTGAGAGCAGGTAGGGATAGATTAAATTTAAAAAGCAGAATGCTGACAGTAAATGCAGCTGAGTACTGCATAGAGGAAGCATGGGGTTTCATCATACTATTCTCTTTACTCTTGTATGTTTGTAATTTTCTGTAATAAAAACAAACAAGGTCGTCTATTTTACCATAATGAAAAGCCCCAAGGTGGGCATAGGCAATATTGATTCAGTGACTCCAGGAGGATCCCATTACTTATTCTGTTTCTTTCCATCTTTCTGCTCTGCCATTCTCAGCATGTTGACTTTGCCTCTTGGGCTGGTTTCCTCATGGTGCTGGCATGGCGGTACTTTTCTATACATTACATGCAGACAACACTGTCCAGAGGCAAATATAAGGGGACACACTAGTGTCTTATGTCCATTTTTAAGAGAGAGGGAAACTGCCCCAGAAGCCCCCAGCAGACTTGTCATTTCTCCTTGGCCAGAATGCCCTTGACTAATTCAATCACAGGGCAAGAGGTATGAGACCACTCCATCAAGAGTCTCCTTTGGGAAGTTAGGTTCCAGACATTCTGGAAGAATATACAAATTGCAGAGTCACATGAGCAAGTATGAAGTGTGCAAATAAGAAGCAATGGCCTCAGGTAAAGCAACCAAGAACGTCAACTCCAGGAGTCAAGGCAAGGAAGACTGGTCACAGGAGCAACCCAGACACAAGAGCACAATCCAGGAGCTTAACAATGCCTGAGGTTCAAGTAGAGCCAGAGTGGTTCCCACCAGAAGGCAGGCCTGGGAAGGCTTCCTGTGGTCTCTCCCTCCTTGAAAAGTCAGGGCAGATTACCAGGTCTGTGGGTCTTAGCCCCACAAACAATGGCCAGACCACATATAACAGAACTCTTTTACCCACAGTCTCTATTTTTTGCCCCTGTCCCACTTACGACCCACCAGAGAAAGCCAGATAAGCTCCCCCGAGCAATCACATAGGATGACCCACTACTAGTTAGCCGGCCTCCAACTTCCATACTCCACACTCAGGATACACCTGAGGCCATTTCTGTTTGTTGCTGTCAAGCTTTCCCTCTCCTGTGCCGGCCTTTGAGCCTTTGCCAAACGCAAAGACTGTGGTGGACTCCCCTGCTCTAGCGGGCTCTGAAAAAACGTCTTCTGTGGTCCTCATCAGGTGGTCTCCCTTTACTTCCACGGCAGGTCTGGCCGTTGCAAACGCCCACGAGGAAAGCACGAAGCCGTGCACGGTTCAGACACGAACGTCGCGCCCTCGACCTGTGTCGCAGACGCCCATGAGGAGAATCAGAGTCGTCCATTAATTCGGGACCGAGGGGCAGAGCTAAAGGGAGCAACATTCTCAGCCACAACCCGAGCTGTCGTAAAAGATAAAAAGTTGGGTCGCCGACGCCCAGACACCAAAGGCCTCGACGCTGCCGCTGCCGCTGCCGCCGCCGCCCGGAGCAACAGCCGCAGCAGCAGCTGGAAAAATTGCCACTGAAGCGAGAAAAACGGCCGCCAGCCCACGGCCTTCTGGGACTTGTAGTTCGTTGCGCCGAGCGCGCACTTCCGCCACCCACCGGAAGTGCCCCCATTACCCGCGAGCGCAGGTGAGCCTGGCCCGGGAACCCGCCTGGGGGGTCAGCTGTACCCGCGAGGCCACCCCAGCCCCAGAAGGTGGACACGTTTTCTTCCACTGGTACGTGGACTTTCAATTTAACTTGAAGAGAAAGCGTATGTTGTCCAGATGAACAAAGAATTAGGGGCAGTCCTGGCAGAGCAAATGGCATTGGGCGAACTCCGGACCAGGGTGTTGGCCCGTGTTGGTTGTGTTTGATGATGCCCCAAGTTAAGGGCTCGGTGTGAGAGGGGGCTTGGTGTGAGAGAGGGCTGTATAGTGGTGTGGAGAGCAGGGACCCAAATTCCGTTGTGCGTGAGGGCTGGGGTTTGGATTACAGAGCCTCAGTAAGTAGAAGCATCAGGCGGTGGATAATTCAGTGCAAGGGATAGTGCCAAGGGAGTAGAAAGAATGAGGAGGACTCTGACTTTCCATGTCTAGTGAGGAGCCAGGATGGAGGCCGCAGTGCAAGAGATGAGGAACTGTGGTCACTCTCAGCTGTGTTGAGTCCAGGAGTCTTGTCAATGATAGAGTTAATCCATAGTTGATCTAAGAAAGAAACGGAACTTTAAAAAAAATTATTTGTTTTATTTATTTTTGGCTGCACTGGGTCTTCGTTGCTGTGCACAGGCTTACTCTAGTTGCAGCGAGCGGGGGCCACTCTTCGTTGTGGTGTGTGGGCTTCTCACTGGGATGGCTTTTCTTGTTGCAGAGCACAGGCTCTAGGTGCATGCTTCAGTAGTTGTGGCACGCAGTCTCAGTAGTTGTGGTTCGCAGGCTCTAGAGCGCAGGTTCGGTAGTTGTGGAGCACACACGGGCTTAGTTGCTCCACAGCATGTGGGATCTTCCTGGACCAGGGCTCGAACCGGTGTCCGCTGCATTGGCAGGCGGATTCTTAACCACTGTGCCACCAGGGAAGCCGAGAAATGGAACATTTTATTCAAGCGAACCTGAGGATTATAACTCAGGAAATAGTCTTTCAGAAAGCTCTGAGGACTGTTCCACCCTAGAGATCAAAGCACAGTTATATACCTTTTTGAGACAAAGGGTCATATATCAAATGATGAGTTGACAGTTTATGTAATCCAGAGCTGCAGTACAAAGCCAGTAGTGGGTCACTGTGACCCCTTACAAAGAAGGAACTTTGTCTCCTAAGGAGATAGGGTTAATGCAGATACAGGATACACACTAAATGGGAGGGAAGAGACCCAAACAAGCAGAGAAAAAGTTTATGTTTAAATTTTTCTTGTCTTGCCATAAAATATGAATTTTATTTCATCAAGTCTTTAGAGACATGGCTGGATGTGGAGGAGGGAATGGCAGTGACAGGGAACTTGGGAGGGAGGTCTAGGCTGGACATAAAGCCTGGGGCAGCCCTTGAAACCCCACCCCCTCACAGGCAGGGAAAGAGGAAACTAGAAAAGGAAGGAGAAAGAGAGCCCTCTAGAAAGAGGGACCCCTGCCAGACCAGCCCCCTCCTGGGTCCAGCATGAGGAAAAGAAGGGGAGTTTTATGTCCAGCTATAACCAATATAATTAAATCTGCTGTGCCCCTACTGTGTGTCAGCACAATGTTAAGCAATTATAAATGCAGCTCACATAATCATCACAGCAGCACCACAAGGCAGGTGCTCTTCTCCCGGATGTCTACAGATGAGGCTCAGAGAGGTTAAGGAGGCCTGTTCAGAGTCCTACAGAGGCACGTGGTGGAACTAGGACTTCGAAAGCAGGCAGTCTGGCTGCGGAGGGGAGGTGTTCCCAGCCCTCACCCTAGGGTGTCTCCAGACTAGGAAGAAGAGGATCAGAGGGTGGAAATGGACACGGGTAGTAGGAGATTGCCCGTGGCTGGATGGGAATGTCAGAACAAGGTAGCATCATATAGAGTCTTCAGCAGCCTTCTTAGGTGTGGTGAACATCTGTGTGTGTGCATGGTGTGGGTGTGCTTTTGGTACAGGCAGGGTGAGAGGGAGTCAAACATAGGGAAGGGTTTGGGGCAAGATTCGGGAGGATTTTTGCCTGGCTGTCTCAGTGGGGCTGTCACGTGACTACAGCCAAGATACTAGATGGGCAGAGTATGGGAAGCAACGACAGTGTTAAGCAAAGCAGGGGATAATAGGTGTGGCCCACGGGCAGTGGGGCAGCACCCAGCAGCTCCAGAAGGATGATACCCACCTCTCAGAGTGCCCTTAGCTGTCCTCCTGGTGATTTTCATATCCTCCTTGTCCCCATACCCCACCTCCGTTTTTAGAAACCAGCTGATGTTTCATTGGGATATTTTTTAATTGTACGATTAATTGTTTTGACACTGCCTCCACTTCTCCCTATTTAGTATCTTGAAATAAGAGGAAATACTGGTCCCTCCTTTATTTGAGTGTTGAAGGACTGCTGTGTATCTTTGGGCTCATGGTTCAGACACCGCAGCACGTGCCTCAAGGCATTTACCTTGAGCCTGGGGGTAGCCCAGGCCCGGACCCAGGCAGACTGGCCCTCTCCACAACTGGAAAGCTGGCTCGGCCACCTCAGCTGACCTCAGAGCCTTGAACAGGGAGAACACGTGATCAGAGCTCCGCCTCTCTGCCCCTCACTCCCCAAGGGATGGTCCTCAGCTGGCATTGGCCACCCTCTCCTTTGGGGATGGGAATGGACTCAGGAGTGTGGAGATACTTAGGTGGGGCTGAATCCCTAATTGTTCCCCCAACCCCAGCCCTGCCTTCTGAGGACCTCTGCCCTCTTCAGGACAGCTTCTCCAGGTATGAGGAGGAAATGGAGGCATATCCTCAGCAGATCCTGTCTCAGGTGAGTTGGGGACCTTCGCTTTCATTGCCTTAGTCTCCTTGGCTGTAAAATGTGTCCAAGGATAGCACCCAACTCCTCAGGCCAGCACACACGAGAGTTCTGTAACGCTGCCCTATGCCTTGGGGTGAAGTCTACAGGCTCCCTGCGTGAACAAGCCAGGAACTCCACAAACCTGGTTCCCTGGGCCAGGTCTCTGCCTCAGACTTTTTATTTGTGGTTTTTGCTCAGTGGGCCCTTGAGGGCAGGCAGAGCTGAGCCTCCATAAACATGCAGGCACTCTGGGCCCATTGATCCTCACTGAGACCACTCAGGAGGGCAGCTGAGAGTGTCCCCATAAAGAGCCACAGTCACCCTTAGATGGCTCACGGTGCAGCACACGGCGGGTGGGGGCGGGTCCCTGACCTCCTTCAGGGTCCCAGCATCATACACTTGCCTGTGCTTCCTGGGTGCCAGGGGTCAGTTGCACTCATGTCCTGTGAGACTCCCCGGTGCAGGAGGCTGTCTTCATAGTCGCATCAGGGCAGCTCATGCCGAGAAGTTCAGGGACACGTCCAGGTGTCCAGCTAGCAAGTCATGAAGCAGAGAGGCCAACTTGGTCTACTTGGGCTGCTGTAACACAATACCACCCGCTGGGTGGCTTGGACAACAGCCATTTGTTTTCTCACAGTTCTGGAGGCTGGAAGTCTAAGATCAGGGTGCTAGCAGGGTTGGTTTCTGGTGAGGACTCTTTCTGGCTTTCAGATGGTGCCTTCTCTATGTCTCCACATAGCAGGGAGAGAGAGAGGCCTCTGGTTTCTCCTCCTCCTCTTGTAAGGACACCAGTCCCATCACATTAGAGCCCTGCCCTATGACCTCCATTAGCATTAATTCCGTAAAGGCCCTGTCTCCAGATAAGTCACATTGTGGGGTAGGACTTCAACATGCGGATTCATGGGGAAACAATTCAGCTCATGGCATTAGCCTTCTAAAAACACACCACAGCCCTGATTTGTCCCATGGGCCACTGTGTGCTGACCCCTGATCTAGAGCATCCTCTTTGACTGGCTTCCAATCTGTGATTTTGTAGAGAGGCTGGGGACGGGGATCTCCAAGAGGGGTCCCCGTTGTTTCCCAAAACAGAAAATCGGGATCACTGGTGTGACCAGTGGTAGATGAGATACCCAGGCAGAAATGAAAAGGCCATGGGCCTGAGTCTGGGTCTGATCTGAGCAAGGGGTTCTCCCTCCCCTGGACTGTCCTGTCCCCCCAACCTCCTCGTCGAGAAAGCAGGGTCCCATGGTAACACCAGTGATGTTTCAGCCACCTGTGAGCTTCAAGGACGTGGCTGTGACCTTCACATGGGAGGAGTGGGGACAGCTGGACCTGGCCCAGAGGATGCTGTACCGTGAGGTGACTCTGGAGACCTGCAGTCACCTGGTCTCCCTGGGTAAGGCAGGCACTGCCCATCGCAGGACCCAGAGTGCGGCTCAACTCAAGGGTGTGCCCAGGCTGGGCCAAAACGTGCTGGAAGTGGGTCCCTTTGAGATTTGGGTCCTGGTATTGCCGCTTACTCCATCTCCAGAGCAGATCTGTGGCTTGTCGTTCAGGGAGTGGGAAATCTCCTCGGGAGGATGCGGGGGCCCTCCTAGTCCATTCACGTCTGACCCCAGGGGCGAGGGCTGGGCCTGTCACCAAGCAGAAGACCAAGCCCTCTGTTTTTCCTCCGTTGACCAGGGCTTCTGCTTTCAAAACCGGATGTGATCGCCCGACTGGAGCAAGGGGAGGACCCATGGAGGGTGGAGCCGGGACCTCCCCGAGGTGAGAACAGGCCAGCGGCCCAATGGTTAAGGTCCAAGGAGCAGGGAGGCCATTTTGGGGGAGTTTGCTCAGGTGTTCTCTGCTGCCTCCTCGTGTCCAACAAGGCAGCTATGTTCTCATCCACATCAGCCTGTCTCTGTGCCCAGCCCACCCACAGAGAACACTTGTTGCTGTGGTCAGGACACGTCTCACACATGGGTTCATTTCTGTCCCCGTCTTCCTCTGGTCTTCACCCCTCTGCTGCCGCATCTCATTCCCATGTCCTCATGCCCCCTCTTCTCCTCCATCCTCTCATCCTGACTTCTACCCAGGGTGGAAGCTCCTCAGCCCTCCCCTTCAGGCTGGTCTTTGCTCTGCCATTTGGGTGATCGGCCGTCCTCCATGTTGGACGTTCCCATGTCTTCAAGATGATTCCAAAGTGTGGTAAAAACTTGTGCATCCAAGCCTTCCAGAAGGATTCCTACTAAATCTTCCTGGACCTCCTTTCCCACCTCCCCTCATCCCATAGGCCCACCTCCTACCCTGTGTGTCAGCCTAATTAGAATTATCTTTTTTTTTCTTTTTTTCTTTTAGAGCTGTATCAAAATACAGTTTACATACCATACAGTTCACCCATTTAAAGTATGCAAAGCCTCTTAGTATATTCGCAGTATGTGTATGCATCACCACAATCTATTTTAGAACATGTTCATCATACTGACTAATTGGGCTGCTTCTGATCTTTTGTTGTTTTGTTTTAATTCATAGACTTTATTTTCTTATTTATTTATTTATTTAGCTGTGCTGGGTCTTAGTGCGGCATGTAGGATCTTTAGTCACGGCATGAGAACTCTTAGTTGTGGCATATGGGATCTAGTCTGACCAGGGATCAAACCCCGGCCCCCTGCATTGGGAACACGGAGTCTTAGGCACTGGACCACCAGGAAAGTCCCCATTGATAGACTTTATTTTTTAGAGCAGTTTCATGCTTACAGAATGTACAGAGTTCCGTATACCACCCCACCCCACACAGTTTCCCCTATTATTAATGTCTTGCATTCTTCGGCACATTTGTTACAGTCAATGAACTTATATTGATAAATTGTTATCAACAGAGATCAACAGTTTACATTAGGTTCACTGTGGTGTTGTACGTTCTGTGGGTTTGGACAAATACATAATGTTATATATGCACCACTATAGTATCGTACAGAGTAGCTCCACTGCCCTAAAAATCCTCTGTGCTCCACCTATTCACCCTCCCTCCACCCTAACGCCTGGTAACCACTGATTATTTTACTGTCTCTGTAGTTTTACCTTTTCCAGAATATCCTATAGTTGGAATCATGCAGTACGTGTTCTTTGCTGAGTGGTTTCTTTCATTTAGCAATAAGCAACATGTTTGTCCTTTATACCACCTTGCCCTAGCCTGGAGGCGTTTAATTTATCTCATGTGTTCCTGCACCTTTTTACCCTGTTACTCTCTTGCCTGCAGCTTCTGTTATTTCTTACTTCTGAACTCTTACCTACTTTTACTTACCCTTGGTTCTCAAATGACATCATTCTGAATTTAGTTTACCAGCAATGTCTTTCTTCTCTTCTGTCATAGACGTTACTTTCTTGCTGACCCACACAATCTGTCTTCCTCATTTCAAGATCTTGGTGCAGATGCTACTGTAGAATTTTAACCTCCTTTGCCCAGTTTCCAACAGCCAGGCACATCTTGGACATATCTTAGCCACTCAAAGATTTCTTTCCTTTCCTCCTCCAAATACCCTTTCACTCCCCTTCATGGGGCTGTTGTTTCATTTGAAAAGTTCTCATCATCAGAGATTCCAAGTCAACACCCCAAAGGAACACAGCAGTGTCTTGGGAAGGAGAACAGTGCTGGTCGTGGGAGAGGTTGGGCATAGATAAGGACCTTCCCCATGAGGGAAAGAAGGTCTTTGTTGGGCAGAAGGGAAACGTCCTCCTGGAAGTCAAAGGATAGCCAGAGAGTGTAGGTCATACGTTGCCAAATGGAGGATACTTATCTCCTTGGCAGGCATAGGGAGAGAAGCATGGGACCCTGGGCAAAGGCCTTGATATTACTGGATGTGGGTGGCTACCTGACTGAAAAGGACAGTATGTGGACAAAGTGACAAGTAAAAAGGGAATCCTGGAGGACGCAGGCAAGGGTCCTGAGCTGGGAGCCTGTGGCACTCTTTGTTAAAGGCCCAGTATCTTCATCAGGCCGAGGAATCCCCTTTAGAGCCATAATAAGGGTGACGACATCAACAGTACCATGTATAGCAGTGCACCGTGTGCCAGACACTGTGTGAGGCTCACATGCTGATTCGTTTATGCCTCGAAGTAACCCTTGTTAGCTAAGCATTCGTATTCCTGGCTTACTGCCAAGGAAATCGAGCCTCAGAAGTCGCCAGCTGGTGGAGTCCACTTGTGGCCCAGTCTGGCCAAGCACCCTGCTTCAGGGGCCACAGCACTTTTCTGGGGAGTCTGTGACATCAATTCTGGAGTGGTTAAAGGGACTTTTATTTCTCTGTGGGCAGCCTGAAGTGATGGTAGAAATGGTGCATTAAGAATATTAAATTAGGGCTTCCCTGGTGGCGCAGTGGTTGAGAGTCCGCCTGCCGATGCAGGGGACACGGGTTCGTGCCCCAGTCAGGGAAGATCCCACATGCCGCGGAGCGGCTAGGCCCGTGAGCTGTGGCCGCTGAGCCTGCACGTCCGGAGCCTGTGCTCCGCAACGGGAGAGGCCGCAGTGGTGAGAGGCCCACGTACTGCAAAAAAAAAAAAAAAAAAAGAATATTAAATTAGTGTTGGTATTTGGGATCTCGTTTCAAGATCCAGCACCAGGAAATGGATAGACTAAGATTGTGGATCATAAGGTTGAGGCACATGTTAAGATCCTGTTTCCTGTGACTGCTATTACAGATTACCAACTTGGTGGCTTAAAACAACACAGATTGATTCTCCCACAGTTCTGGAGGCTACAAGTCCAAAATCAGTATCATTGAGTTAAAATCAAGGTGCAGCAGGGCCATGCTCCCTCCAGAGGCTCCAGTAGGGAATCCATTCCTTGTCTCTTCCAGGCTCTGGTGGCTGTGGGATTCCTTGGTCTGTGCCCACATCACTTTAGTCTTTAAGGCCAACACCTTCAGATCTCTTTGCTCTGTGTTCAGAATGCTTTCTGTGTGTATCAAATCTGCCTCTGCCTCCCTGATATAAGGACACTTGTGATAACATTTGGGGCTCATCCAGATAATCTCCCCATCTCAAATCCTTAATACATCTGTAAAGATCCTTTTTCCAAATAAGGTATCATGTTGACAGGTCCCAGCAAAGAGAATGTAGGTATCTGTTGTGGTGATTGAGGGCTTTATACCTTCAGACCCAAATTTTTTGTGTGAATTTCTCCTTTAAGCTTCACTCTTCCCTGCTTATTTTATTCCTCTGCTCCCTCTTTGGGGACCAGTCCTCCTGAGTCATCTCTTCATTACCTTTGCTTGCTTTTTTGTATTTTACCACTGATTTCCTCTTTGCTGAGCCATCCCTTCCTTTCACACCCTGCATGAAATTACAGTCCATGGATTAGAAACAAACCCAGAGATACCTCTCATACTTGGTGGTCTCCTTCATCCCACTCTCCCCTCCTAATGCTTCTCCAGTAATTCAGGCAATTTGGATTTCTTTCAGACTGGAAGACTACACTGGAAAATAAAGAGTCAGCTTCCGAAGAGGGTATTGCTGTGGAAGAGCCATCTCACCACATGGAAATGAAACACTGTGTACAGGAGGAGGGCCCCTGGTTGGTGTCATTAGGAGAAGTGCAGCATTGGAGGGACCAGCTAGGGAAGCACCAGGAGGACTCTCTGAGTCAAACAGTACTTACCTCAGAGAGACATTTTGCTCAAGGGGGTAGTTATCTGAGTCTAAGCCTTCTACCTCCAACATTACCCACAAGGACACATTTCCATAAGCTCAACTCACAGGTTAAAAGGTTGAAACAGAACTCGGTTTTCATTAATCATCAGAAAAACTGGGCTGATCTGAAGTCCTGTGAAGATCATGAAAGTGCTAGAGCCTTCTGTCAGAGCACTTACTTGAATAAAATTGCAAATGTTGAAACGGGAAATAAAAAACCTTATGATTATACTGTCAGTAGTGACTCTTTAAACTGTGGTACCTCCCTTCATTTTCTTACTAGAATTTTTTCAGCAGAGAATGGCAATGACAGTAAGGACGATGGAAACAGCATTAATCATAGCATGTCTCTGAATGAACACAAGCCAATGAATTTTGGAGAAAGTCAGTACGAGTGTGATGAATGCCTTGTACAAACCGAAATAAGTGATCCTGGAGAGGCACCATTCAGATGTGAGGAGGACTGTGGTGCCTTCCACGTGGCCTCATCTTTTCCTGACTGTGACATCATTCAGACTGGAAAGAAGTCATATGCATGTAATCAGTGTGCAAAATCTTTCAGCTGTTGCTCTAAGCTTGTTGTACACAAGAGAACACACACAGGAGAAAAGCCATATGAATGTACTCGGTGTGGGAAGTCTTTCAGCCAGAGCTATGACCTGGTTGTACACCAGAGAACTCACACTGGAGAAAAGCCCTATGAATGCAACCAGTGTGGGAAATCCTTTACCCAGAGTTCCAAACTTATTAGGCATCAACGAACTCACACTGGAGAAAAACCATATAAATGTCATGAATGTGGAAAATCTTTCAGGTGGAACTCTAACCTTACTGTTCATCAAAGAATTCATACTGGAGAGAAACCTTATGAATGTGCTCATTGTGGAAAGTCCTTCAGTCAAAGCTCTGACTTTGTTGCACATAAAAGGACTCACACTGGAGAGAAACCCTATGAATGTAACCAGTGTGGAAAATCTTTCATTCGAAGCACTCAGCTTATTAGGCATCTGCGAATTCACACTGGAGAGAAGCCATATAAATGCAATCAGTGTGACAAAGCCTTCACTGGGAGCTCTCACCTTATTGAACATCAGAGAACTCATACTGGAGAGAAACCGTTTGAATGTAATCAGTGTGGCAAAGGCTTCACTGGGAGCTCTCACCTTCTTTCACATCAGAGAATTCATTCTGGAGAGAAACCGTATGAGTGTAATGACTGTGGGAAAGCTTTTCGGCAGCGATCTCAGCTTGTTGTGCATCAGCGAACACATACTGGAGAGAAACCTTATGAATGCAGTCATTGTGGAAAAGCTTTCAGCCAGAGGTCTCCCCTCATTGTGCATCAGAGAATACACATTGGAGAGAAACCCTATCAGTGTAACATGTGTGCTAAAGCCTTCAGTCAGAGGTCACGCCTTATTGAACATAAGAGAACACATACTGGAGAAAAGCCCTATGAATGCATTGACTGTGGGAAAGCCTTCAATGATCGATCAACCCTTACAAAACACGAGAGAACACACACTGGGGAAAAACCCTATGAATGTAATCATTGTGAAAAGGCCTTTAGCCAGCGGTGTCAACTTACTAGGCATCAGAGAATCCATACTGGAGAGAAACCCTATGAATGTAATGAGTGTGGAAAAGCTTTCAGTTGTAGTACATCCCTTATTCAACATGAGAAAACCCATGGGAGAGAAACCCTATGAATAATCAAGATGGAAAAGCTCACTGCCAGACTTTCTTTACTAGACATCAGATGACCAAGGTATGATTCTCAGAGTGTAGTCTAATGACCATATACATCAGAACTGCTTGGAGTGTGTGTGTTGAAACTGCATATTACCAAGCTTACCCTCAGTTTACTATATCAGAATATCTAGCAGTAAAATCCAGGAGCCTGCAGTTTCCAAAAGGAGCACACGTGATTTGTATATATACTAAAATTTATATACTTCTGCATTTAGGTCATGAATATGACCACTGATGAAAAACATTCAGTCAGAGCTCTCGGCAGAAGTTAGAAAACAGAATGGAGCTGTACCCACCAGATAATCTTTTTAGTGCATACAGCCACGCAAACTCAACCAGACGTTGTCTCCACATTCATGGAGATGATGGGGAACCGAAAGATACTCTTTACACAGAGCCCCAAACACTCAACCTAAGAAGAAACATTGCATGAGGAAGTTGGTGTTTGGTAATGAAATTTGAAGCCAGCTATGTTCAGTGTAAACCAGCAATTAAAAACACAAATTGGGGAATTTTTTGGTGGTCCAATGGTTAGGACTTGGTCCTTTCACTGCCGGGGCCTGGGTTCTATCAACGGTCAGGGAACTAGGATCCCGCTGCATGGCATGGCAAAAATAAACAAACAAAAAACAAATCGAAGGAAAACTAATGATGGGAAGTCTTCTAAAATGATTTTTATTGGAATTAAAAGTAGACTCAATTTTTCAGGGACTCTGTCATGCTCTAACTTAAGTTTGTTGCTCAGGTTGACTAATCAAAAGAGTCAAGTGAAGTGAAAACAGGGCTCAAAACAGTATATACACAGAATGTTACAACATATAAAATCATGTGCACAGTTGGTTGGTTAAGAAGGTCAACTCGGCAGCATGTTCAAAAAAAGGCTAAAGTGTAAATCAGTGGTGAAGCAAGTGGGAGAGGCCATTATTGCAGGTTTGAGCAAGGTGAAAGCAGGTGAGAGCATCGCCTGGAGATGCAGAGTGGGAAAGGCTGTAGCTAGGAACTTGCAAAGAGGGAGCTGCAGGAGTGGAGGTCACAGCCCCCCTGTCAGAGCTGTAGACTGACAAGTGGGGCAGGAAAGCAGGGTTCATTGAAGGTCTGTCCGTGAAACTCCTAATTTGTTCTCCCCTCTCTTGCGTTAAGTATCTGGCCATGGGTAAGCAAAAAATATAGTAGAGAATGAATTATGTGCTATAAGAAAAAGTATGAGGTCCTCGGCGCTGCCTACGGAGGTGGCCGCCATCTCTTACTCAGCATCATGGCTGCCCTCAGACCCCTCGTGAAGCCCAAGATCGTCAAAAAGAGGACCAAGAAGTTCATCCAGCACCAGTCAGAGCAATATGTCAAAATTAAGTGGAACTGGCGGAAACCCAGAGGCATTGACAACAGGGTGCGCAGGAGATTCAAGGGCCAGATCTTGATGCCCAACATTGGTTATGGGAGCAACAAGAAAACAAAGCACATGCTGCCCAGCGGCTTCCAGAAGTTCCTGGTCCACAATGTCAAGGAGTTTGAAGTGCTGCTGACGTGCAACAAGGCTTACTGTGCTGAGATTGTGCACAACGCCTCCTCCAGGAACTGCAAAGCCATTGTAGAGAGAGCAGCCCAGCTGGCCATCAGAGTCACCAATCCCAACACCAGGCTGCGCAGCGAAGAAAATGAATAGACAGCTCGTGTGCACGTTTTGTTTAATAAAACCGTAAAATGGCCCCCCCAAAAAAAAAAGAAGTCTGAGGGACTAGGGAGTCTGGTGTATTACGCTCCAGAACAAGTGCTGCCTTATTTTGGCATTTCAAGGACATTCATCCTAACAGCTGGTTCTTACCCTTTTAATCCTAAAGCAAAGTGTGCCATTAAACCAGCCCCACCCATCTTTGGAGCTTCCCCTCTGTTTTTTGATAGCTTCTTCAATATCATGAGAGCTAGGGAGTGAATGATTAAGGAAGCCTCCAACATGAATGAAAAAATATCTGGGGCTTCCCTGGTGATTCTGTGGTTAAGAATCCGCCTGCCAGTGCAGGGAACACGAGTTTGAGCTCTGGTCCGGGAAGATCCCACATGCTGTAGAGCAGCTAAGCCCGTGTGCCACAACTACTGAGCCTGCACTCTAGAGCCCGTGAGCCACAACTACTGAAGCTCACATGCCTAGAGCCCATGACCCGCAACAAGAGAAGCCACTGCAATGAGGAGCCCCCGCTCGCCACAACTAGAGAAAGCCCAAGCACAGCAACAAAGACCCAACGCAGCCAAAAATAAATTAATTAATTAATAAAATAATTTTTTTAAAAAAATCTAAGATAAAACAGAAAAAAAAACTGCCAAAGAGAACAGATATTCAGGAGAAATAAATATTTTAAATGTTTTATTCTAGGAGTGAGTCAAGAAATAATTGCAAATGAAAAATAAATGCAAGATGCTCTTTTAAAAAGAATAGACTCCCTGAAATTAAAAGTAAGACTGTTGGGCCAAAAAGCAAAGAAAAGAAAGAAAGAAAAAGGGAAACTTCACCAGAGCTGAAACATCTTCAGATCATGGATAGATTCATGCAGCATGAGAAATTGAGAACACAATTAAGAAGACATCACAGACTGGGACTTCCCAGGTGGTGCAGTGGTTAAGAATCCGCCTGCCAATGCAGGCGACACAGGTTCGAGCCCTGGTCCGGAAAGATCCCTCATGCCATGGAGCAACTAAGCCCGTGCACCACAACTACTGAGCCTGCGCTCTAGAGCCCGGGAACCACAACTACTGAAGCCTGCGTGCCTAGAGCCTGTGCACCAGAACAAGAGAAGCCACCATGAGGAGCCCACGCGCCACAACAAAAAAGTAGCCCCTGCTTGCCACAACTAGAGAAAGCCCGCGCAGCAACAAAGACCCAAGACGGACACACACACACACACACACACACACACACACACACACACACATCACAGAAACTTCTGGAAAGAATTTTGAAAGTAGAAAAGGAATATTTTTTAAGAAAAAGGAATGTTTCTTCTAATTAAAAAAATCAGAGACTTCAAAGTAAGCAAATTGTTCGAGAAAATGTACAGATTGTACAAGACAATTGCAGTCCAAATGTGAAGCAAATGTTTTTAATATATATTTATTTACTTTTGGCTGCATTGGGTCTTCAATGCTGCACGTGGGCTTTATCTAGTTGCGGTGAGTGGGGGCCACTCTTCGTTGCGGTGCGTGGGCTTCTCATTGCCGTGGCTTCTCTTGTTGGGGAGCATGGGCTCTAGGCTCACGGGCTTCAGTAGTTCTGCCACTCGGGCTCAGTAGTTGTGGCTCTCGGGCTCTAGAGCTCAGGCTCAGTAGTTGTGGCGCATAAGCTTAGTTGCTCTGCGGCATGCGGGATCTTCCCAGACCAGGGCTTGAACCCGTGTCCCCTGCATTGGCAGGTGGATTCTTAACCACTGCGCAACCAGGAAAGCCCCTGAAGCAAACTTTAGAAAGGAGTATTCATTTGACCCTTGTGTTAATAATTCTTCCTAGAAGAGGCAGAGGACTCAGGAAATCGGAAAAAAGGAGGGGGAAATATAATCGTTGTTTTGATTGGCCCTTCACTGAACAGTGTTTGCATAGTTCTGATATAAAGAGTAGATACTGTTTATTTTTATTTTTCAATTTTAGGAAGAAACCCAGATCTGTGACAGAATAGATTTCATAATGGCAACAGAGTGGCGTGCCATTGTTCCCAGTCCTGTCACCAATAGTAATGGCACAGCCTGTGACTGTTACAAAGTAGAAAGGGGAAGAGAAGTAGAAAGGGGGGAATGTATCCCCGTATCATCATCTTAGGAAGCGGGCTTTTAAATACAATACTTTAGGTTACTTAGGAGACCAAAACTAGAGCTCAAAACAGTAATATGACAAAAAGTTGGAAGCAAATAGAAGAGCAACGACATGAGTCAAATCTAAATCCCTTATCAGAGCAGGAAGCCAGTAAGGTCTATAGACTGAAAGAATTGCAGAGGTGGCCTCAGAAAGAACCAGAATAGAAATGGCTAAAAGTGGTTGATGGGATTTGTGACTGTTGGGTAAGGTGGGGCATGAGACAGCTACTTTCCATTTTAAAACTTCTGTAATGTTTTATTCCCTGGTGGTACACTTCTTATTTGGGTAACAAATTATTTCAAATGTGTACCTAGGGCTTCCCTGGTGGCGCAGTGGTTGAGGGTCCGCCTGCCGATGCAGGGGTCACGGGTTCGTGCCCCGGTCTGGGAGGATCCCACATGCCGCGGGGTGGCTGGGCCCGTGGGCCATGGCCGCTGAGCCTGCGCGTCCGGAGCCTGTGCTCCGCAACGGGAGAGGCCACAGCAGTGAGAGGCCCGCGAACCGCAAAAAAAAAAAAAAAAAAAAATGTGTACCTATAGGTGAGCGAAACTACAGTGCATGAAGACATCTGCAGTTGATTTGGGGGTTATGTACATGTTTCCTTTTGATTCAGTGTCACTGTAAATTGGAGATTAAAGAAGCAAGAGCTTAAAGAAAAGATGTCAGGCTCTTCTGTTTTGCCAATCAGAGTTGATTCCAGGAGAGCAGGAAGGCTCCTTGGCTTCTTAGAATTCCTTGGAGTCCTTTTAAGGCTCTAAGACTTTATTTTCCAGAAGCCTTATCACCAGGAAGTCAGTGGGCCCCAGAGAGGTGCTGGTATCCTGGGACACCTGGGTGGACAAGACAGGTGTGTGAATTTGTATAACCACCAAATACTGAATGTACTCCCCCAAGGTCACTCTGGCAGTTACCTGGTATTTACTTTCCATAAGACCCTATAAGTAACGGCACACATGATTCATATGAGACTTGGAGTTTGAGACAGGGAATGCCTTCCTACAGTGGCGTGGACAGAACAGAGGGGACTTTGCTGCCTGGTTAGGCAGTTGGTCCTGCTGCTGGGACCAACCTTGTGTAGCTTTCAGAAGATGCTGGGGCCTGGGAGGAAGGACTTGTGCAATGGATCTAGCAAAGTGAGTGTTGTTTGACAATTCTTGTTGACCAAACACCTGAGAGACATTTCCATTCAGCAAGTCTTAAAATTAGCCTTGTTGGGTGAAGGCACTATTTAGGGACTCAGTACGGAAGATGCGTGTGATGCCGCAGCGCCCTCAAGTCCCTTCTTCCCAAGATGGGGACGCCACACAGGAGCATAGGGGTTATGGGTTCCTGGAGACCACACCTTGTGGGAATCACACAAGAAGGATGCATGTAGGGGGCTGGGGGGAATGGAAGACAGAAGTTGCTGTGTACACAGTGAGGGCTTCAGGCCCTGCTCTGAGAGGGTTCTACCCTTTCATAAATCGGAAACCGGAGGCTCTTAAGGACCCAAGAAGTGGGCTCATTTGAAATAGGAACCTGAGACCTTTCCGCCCAAATGATTCTCATACCCAGTGGTTCCAAATCAAAACGTGCATAAGACCCACCTGAAAGGAAGTGTT